GATATATCGCCGCCAACGGTATACCATACGTTCATGGGACACCCGTCTCTTTTGCACGAGTAACGCACACAACGATCCATCTGGCGGGACCCGAGCATATTTTAACATACAAAGTACGTGGCACTAGTGCGCCCCCCCCCCCCCCCGGGAAAATTGTATGCTAACCAGTCATTTTTTTTTTTTTTTTGAGAGGGAGAGTTAGTTTTATACGTAGTATATAATATACGATATCTTGAAAGTAATGGAGACCGCTGGGTGCTGTGTCGATCGATCATTAAATTAATTAAACATATAAAATTTTTTGGGGAGAGTTATAACTCCCCCTAATATCTCCCTGGATACGCCACTGGTGATTACGTTGCATTTCGTTCGTCGACCAACGGACATCGTGCGAACGAATCTTATGCGAACGAGCGTTTCAAACGAACCGAATTCTTCACACTGGCCGTTCTCTTCCCTTCACCGCAATCCAACCGTTTTTTTTTTTTTTTGCGTTGCAGATGCGAGATACCGGAATGTGACTCACCGAACCCTGCGGAACAGACGTACGAGACGCCGTGGCTGCGGTACACGACTCCATTTAAAGAGGACGGGCGACTGCCCAAGAAGTGTCTACGGTACGCCGCGCTCTCGGGACCGGTGGCCAGCAGCAGCAACGGGACACGGTGCGCGCCTGGCGAGTTCGACGTGAACGCAACCGAGGCGTGCTACGGCAGATGGGTATTTGAAGACCCGGAGACTACCGTCGGCACGGAGGTACGTATGTTGAAACGAGACCAGCACAAATTCACACCGGAAGCGTGGGCCCGGGGCCGTATTCAGTGCAGAGCAAGAGGGCATAGGCCAGGGGCGAAATTCTAAAAGGAGTTCGGAGTTGGTTGACAGGGGAATAGAGCAAAGTACGAATGTTGCGGAAATGAGAACGCTTATATGAATGAGTGGAATGACAAGAGAAGATAGAATATGTGAGAGGTAATATTAGTGTAGCGTCGAAAGTGGACAAGATGAGACGGAATAGACCCAAATGGTTTGGGCATACGATGAACCGAGAGGAAACAAAAGCAGTAAGAATAGTTATGAAAATTAACGTTGAAAGAGGAAGAGGGAGAGGAAGACCAAAACAGAGATGATTGGATATGATTGAGAATGATATGAAGGCTGTTGGTATGTGCGTAGGGGGTATAGAAAATCGATACGAGTGGAGGTTTAGGATAAAGATGGTCGACCCCCAAATATTTAAGAGAAAGGCGAAGGAGAAGAAGAAGAATAATAAGATTTACACTAATTTGTACACATGTTTACAACAGTATTACGCTAAGGCCGTATATAGCTGCGCACGAAATAATATTGAAAAAATAATCTATAAAAACGTTGTTTACGAAATTTTCAATATTGCTTTCGATATTAACACAAGCTCGACAAGCGTTTGGTGAGGTAAAACGTGTAACCACCTCATTTCGGTGCATCCCCTTCATTCCATTCATGATCCACGCCGGGAAACGACAGCCATTGAAAGCGTACCCGTTATACGGTTATCCGTATCTTCAATTAGCCTACGATCAGATAGATATTGTTGTAGTACAAGACTGAAAAAAACATTTTTAGAAAAATTTTCAAATGTAAGCAATTCAAGTTTACCGGCATACAGTCTAGCCCTTTGGACGTGAGGGACACGCGATTTTTTTCGTGCGCTTTAGGAAGTATTATTTACCGAACACTATGACTTTTTACTATAAATGCCGATAGTGCCATTAGCCACACGACCTTTTTAGGGAATTTTGAAAACAAAATATTCATCAATATAAAGGTTTATGCGAGTACGTAGATTTAACCATAAAGGTTCGTGCACCTGACTTTTCCCATCACACTTGTACAGAGAAATAAATGTCCTTTGTTCTCCGACAAAAACTTAATGATATAGGTATAGTTCAAAAATAATGACCCAATGGTCAAATAATCCAAATGTCAACAAAATGTGATATAATTTTTTCCCACTGGGTTCGGATTATTTATCCATTTCTATTATAGCACTGTACCAGCGATAGCTGATAATATTAAAAATATTAAAAAACGGTTATTTTACAGACGTCGTCGCGACTTCTCTACCGATTATTATTATTATTGATATTGATAGTAGATATTCAATTTTTTTTTGTGTTCTTATTGCGTGCAGTTCGGGCTTATGTGTGAGGACAACAAATGGAAGCTGTCGATGGTTGGCTCGATCAATAACTTCGGTCAGTTCATCGGCATACCGATCTCGGGAGTCATCGCTGACAAGTAAGCAAACATATTTCATACTACATGATACCATATAGATAAGTATTTTTTAGATCTATGATGATTTGTATAGTGTACCATGTTACTAATCCGAGAGCTTGAGCGCTGGGTAACAGTGAAGGGATTAATAGTTCCGGACTGTAGAGGAACACCCGCAGAATAAACGTATTGTTAAGCAAAACGTGCTGTAACTTTCAAACATTTATTATACATATTTTATTTCGATTTCATTATAAACGGTCTTTGGACTTTCATCGATTAATTATTTACAATTGGCACATTATAAGCGATTTTATTCAACAAAATTCTTCGATTACTGTTGTTTTTTTAATAGTTGATATAACCAACCTAACCTTATCATATTGTTTATTTTTTAAAAAAATAAAGTCTTTATATAATTTGATAGCAAAATACGAACTCAACTGCAGTCCGACTAACAGAAAATATTTACTGTTTCCGGGCTAACTAGCTTACAGATAAAATAATTATAAGAAAAATTTTAATATTTATAGCAGATTCATTGTATACTTGACCGTGGGTTGGCTGCGGAAGCTCGAGGTCATATTTTATTGAGTAGTCTCAGCTTTTTATTTTCCAATGACCAAAATGCCCAAATCCAACGATAGAATATGAATACTAACAAAATGTATTACACGATTTTACGTTAGTAGAACTTGGTTTAAATTAAATGTTAATCATATACGTTTTCATTGACAAAGTACCTACCTACAATGGTTTAGAACTAAAAGTGTAAGCAACGTTTACACTGCTTACACGCACGCCCCCGCTAACTCCAATACACATTTTCTTATGTTAATTTGAAAATTCGCGGTACATCGTAATGTGTATGAAAATCCTTATTTTAATTAATATTTATTTCGTCGCTTCGCTTGATCTCGTTTATTTATGTTCTCGGTATTTCATTGGTTGGGTGTCGAAAATTACCGCGGGATTCTTAACGCTTGAAATCATCTTTTACAGGTTCGGTCGAAGATTCACGATGATTTTCTGCGCAGTTGGGTCGGCCATACTATGTATCCTCCAATCGTTTTCGTTCAACTTTTACATGTTCTTGACCTTCGAACTATTGTCTTCGATCGTGTCCAGCGGAATTTATGCTGTCACTTTCATATTGGGTAAGGAAACTATGTCATGTGACCCGAAGTTAAATGTTAAAATCACGTTGCAAAGCACCGTACAGCTGATACCGCATACCATTATGTTACGGGCTTCGCGAAAATACGTTTAAATCCGTGCTCGGATGCGAGGGAACAATTACAAAAGCAATACACTTTTAAAGAAGAAAAAAAGAAACTATTTAAGTTAAAATTATTTTTCAATATTTTTTATGTTGGATATTCAATTGGTCCTTCAAACATAGGTTTTCTTGAAACTTAAAATATTTCTTCAACTTCTGACACATGCGTCCAATAAATCACTTTTTCCTTTCAAACACTAAACATTTATTTGGATCGATTCCCTTTCGCACATAACTAATTTATTCAATTTTTTCAAATACACAATTTTATTTAACATATTATTAATATGATAAGAATTTTATCATATTCTATGAATTATTCACAATGAACAAATTCGTGCTAAGTTCAACGACGAGATATTTCTATTTGTACAATGTCTGATGAATTATATTTGCTTTTTCTCATAGTTTATATACAAAATGAACTTGTACAATTTTTTTTTCTTCCGTTTTCTAATACCGATTAATGAGGATTATGAGGATCTAGAAAATTTTCAATAAAAAATCGTTGAAATTGATTTGTTCCTTTTAACCTGAGCACAGTCGTATATTAGACGTCAATATTGACGTTTGTATCCGAGACCTTTAAACAGTGCTACGATAATCAAACGCTTATCTCTGTTTATAAATTGGAACAATGAAAATAAAACACAATCACATTGACGTTGGCAAAGTCGAATTTTCGATCAGAATCGTATTTTACGACGTGTAAAATATAAAAAATATCTTGTTCTGTACACCATATTATTTCCGATGTTTGCACGAGAGCGAAAAATACTATTGATAATCATGCGGCATAATAATAGTTATTATTAAGGCGTGGATTTTTATGTAAATACAGAATTTTATTAAATGCAAATTTCTCAATTCTGATTAAAAAAAAAAACACGTTTCATAACACTCTGAATATAATTCAGCCTTTTTTGTTTTAAATATTTCACCAATATTTACATATTTTGTAAATTTATCACATTTTCATACCTATACAGATTTGAATTGTATTCAAATTATTAAATTGGAATCAAATAAAAGAAAAATTAAAGAAGGTTGTTTGAAGTCTTGAATCAAATACTGCCATCACTATTACACAAGTTACTAATAAATAATGACCAGAATATTAATTTAGCATATATTTCCAAACAAATTGTTGTTTCTTAATTAAAGTATTTAAAAAATTAGAAACGTCAAATCTAACATAATTAGCGTTTTCTTTGTTTCGTTTTTCGCCAGCGATGGAATTATTTTTGCCCGAAAAGCGAGTGCTGTACTACTCGATCCTGGAATGTTTCCTGCCGGTCGGCGCCATCATGGTGGCTTTGATCGCCAGCTGGGTTAAGGACTGGAGACTGTTGTTACGATTGTCCAACGTCCCAGGGCTGCTGTTCCTGACGTACTTCTGGTCAGTATACATACCGTGGTCAGACTCGTCGGCCACAGGTTTATAGTTCAAAGATTACGCTCATTGTTTTTTTTTTCGTGCTTTCCAGGCTGACGGAAGAATCGATGAGATGGTTGGAGACGCAAGGCAAACACGATCGGGTGATCAACGCACTCAACAAAATCGCCATCGTCAACAAGAAACCTATGCCCAACCTGCCGCCGGTCGTACCCCAGACACAGGTGACGTTTGAATCTCATTGGTGCTCGATATCGCTTTAACATATTGTAACGCGTTGAATTTCGCAGGTAACGAAAGAGAAAGAATCTGAATCGAACGTCAGCATCATGAAAGATATGATCCGCTCTCCGACCATATTCTGGAGGATGATCAGATGTTCGTACGTGTGGTAAGTTATCTAGTTCTCGTAGCTAATACTTACCGTTTAAATCTCATTGCATGTACGTATACATCTCATCGCGTACGCTTATCAGCCATCCGCGAGTGTTTTACTAGCAAGAAGGTCAATGCTAAGGTTAGAATGCAAATCGAATCCGTAAACTTGTAGATTATACACACATTTTTGGTTAAAAACAAAATATTTATCACATGTGTTCAAAAACGTAATACGTTTAACGATTTTACAGCCAGACACGTAATTTGGATTATATTACTATAATATTTTACGCGTGTCACACTATTATTGGCTAGCCTGTTGTATATGGTAAATTAATCGACAACAACGGTTCCCCGATGTGGTAGTTTAAGATTTAATTATAAAAAAAAAACATGATTATGAAATATAAATGATAATAAATGATTATGAAGTTTTGAAAAATACTTATTTATTCAGCTATAGGGCAGTTTTATGTGCTATAAGAACGGACTGAAATAGAAAGTATTTAGTTACAGTAAAATCCTTAAAACTTCAAGATTACAATAACATCAATTGCAACATTTGTGCACTATGCCATCGATAATATGCCCGACGGATTGAACGCCTACCCTTGCGATAGCCCTATCGATTCGTACAGGTTACCACACCTTTGCGGAACAACCAAACCCCCTTTAGATTAAAATTGTTTAATTTTTTTATTCATTTCGATTACGATTGTTACGGTCCATTTCTTGCTGAGGTTTTCCTTCGATCGCAATAATTATTACCCGAGTATTTTTCATTGCACACATTTTATACAAGAATTGGAAATATTTAACAAGCTTTTTATACTCATTCAACGATGCACCGACATTAGTTTAAGAGTAATATCGCATTAACCACAAATTTTTGTTTTCCAAAAGTTAAATTTACGTCGGACAAGCGTTTCTGTGCGCACACGTTATCGCATGTTATTGTTATAATATTAATATTCATGAACTTTACACGTTTGCTGTATCCACTGTGCAGGATAGCGGCCACTCTAGTGTACTACGGGCTGACCATAGGCGCGACCGACATTGCCGGCGACAAGTATCTGAACTTCTCTTTGGCTTCGTTCGTCGAAATCCCAGCCTGTCTATTAAACTGGGCGATAATGGAAGGGATGTCCAGGAAGAATTCGCTGTGCTGTGTGCTCGTGCTGAGCGGCGTCACCTGTTTCCTGTACATCTTGTTGCCGGCAAGTGAGTGCACGCATTCGTCTATTCGCCTGACCAGCTTGCGCGATAACCATATTCGCTTACATCGAACTGTATACCGCGCTGACCATCGGATGCGTTAAACGTGTCAAGCCCATAGCCCCTCGGGGTTGGAAATTATGACCTTAAGAGCAAACACGAAAATATAAAACGAAAAAACACTTTTAGAACAACAAAAAATAAAACTTCACAGGTAATTCCGCCGACGTTTTCAAACTAGAACTGTACTCGAATGTTAAAGAATATATTTCTATATACGTGATTGAATCGATACGATTTAAATTTGCTTTTAAATCATCAAAATAAAAACGTAACATAGATATCGGATTTCTGTGTTATTCAATATTTTTTTCTTTTTTTTGAAATCGAATAATTCAAACCGACATTGTCTTGTAGTGGTTATAATTTTTTACTATAATTTATTATTTATATACGTGTAAGTAAGTATAGAAAACAATAAATAATATTCTATTCGTTGAAAATCGAACTAACAAATTAATGAAAACACTATTGCGGATTTGAAAAATTCTTAAGTCAACAAATATATAAGCTTCAGTTCTCATCAAGTATTATAGGTTCTATCGTGCATTATATGTTTATTTCTTATTTAATGTGTTCTTTCAGTACAGCATTACCACGTATATAAACTACATATTTTTAATCTTCGACAATATTATCATCGTTTGTTTTAATGTCTCAAGACAAGTCCCTGCGTTAAAGTGCTCGAGTCGCGTTCGATTTTTTTTCTCCGGTATTAGCGCTCGCGGACTAACGACAATCATATTATATCGTACACAATGTGTAACAATATTACGCCATAATAATCGCGATTAAGCTGCAGCGGCGGACTAGACCGGGTTCGGTTATCGTAATCACACCGACGACGTGCCTAAAATGATAATTATTCATATAATACGCATGTGATACGCGGATACGTGATTACTTTATCATAACTGTTGTTTTTGTTTGATTTTTATTTTCTCCGCCTCGACACAGGTCTAGCCATGGTCAAGTTATCCGTGTTCATGGTCAGTAAACTAGCGATAGCTGTCGCGTTTTCCATCGTCTACATGCTGACCACGGAGATATTCCCCACACAGATGCGGGCCACCATGGTGTCAATGTGCTCGATGCTGGGTCGAATCGGATCCATGTTGGCACCTCAGACCACACTGCTGGTAAGGATTTCGGACGTGGTGATATAAGTGCTTCCAGTCTTTCACGTGTATACTACGGCTGCGGTTTGAAGTATATATATTTTAATCCGTGGTACAAGCCGAATATGCGTAATGTAAAATCAATCTTTAAAATCTTAAAATCCTCCATTCCACTATCTAAGTATCCAAATCCACCCCCGCAGGTCTTCCCGTGTACCATAGGCGGCACAACTAGGGCAAAAAATCTTGGGGGGGCTACAAGTCCTACCAAAACTTAAAAAAATCTGTTGATTACTCTTACTCTTATATACAATGTTAATATATTTTAGATTCTGAGCCAAGTTGGATTTACTGCAATGTGTCTTTTTTTTGTATGTGATACTATTACGAGTTAAGTATACGGTATGCCATGTAAAACATGGAATATTTATGGGGGGGGGGGGGCTAAATCTTGGTCTGGTGGGCTAAGGCACCCTAGCCTCTTCTTAGTTTCGCCTATGCCATTTACATATCAGATTCGCTACAAATCCAATCAGTGATCTCGAACAGAGAAACGGTAAAGCATGTTTTCACATTTTTTTCGTTGGTTAAGTTCATCGGTTGTCGGGAAAATAAGAAATCGTCCTCCCAAAAAATTGTTTCTTGGCGTACAACGGGTACGCGCACATGATAAATCCAAGCTTGGTTGCAATCGTTTTTCGTTCGTGGTGAAATACCTATGAAGACGGGTTACGTGTTGTACATTCTTCAGCATATAGAACTAAACATCAACATGATCGTTACTACATTTAAAATTAGTATTTTACGTTTTTAAGTGCAATAAGCCTCTTGTTTACAATTCCGACATTTAATATGTTTGTAAAATAAAGTGAAAAACACAACTAAGCAGATATTTTTTATCGCTTTAATCCAATATATATTTTAGCATAACCATTATGTTTTTTGCGAAAAGACAAATATTAGGTATTATATATGATACAAGAAAATGGGTTTGTTATATAAATAATACAGTACAATATATAATTTAAATAATTTAAATGCGGAAGCCTGAATTGAGGATGAAATCAATGAATTACGAGTAAAATAATGGAAGGAGAAACCTAGTAGGTAATTAAATGTCTTATAAAATACCAATAAAAGTATAATTACCAGAAATTTATACTTTTCAACTTTTTATATCTATAAATACACAATAGTAAACGATTAATAAATATGTTCGAAGTATTCATTATTAAGTATATCAATAACAACAATTAAGTATAGTACAATAATTTACATAAAGTATCGAACACCGTGCCGTGAGTATATGTCCTTCTGCAGCATTACAGTATGATACTGAACAAATCATTACAGACAGGGTGTCCCACTAAGACATATCCGTAATTTGATGTCTCCCGAGATGATGAATATAA